GTAATGCTAGGGTGCCTCAGGAAGAGAGAGCTCCTGACACACTGCACTCTGAAGTTAAAGGAGTGGGCCCCCATCTAACTTAAGTCCAGCCTCACCAGCACATAGGCACCCACTGAGGTCAAGGGGGTGGGCACCCTGGAATGGGTCACAAAGGCCTTGTCCGCAGGCTAGCCCAAGGGTAAGGCCAGACACTGACCGGTGAGCTGAGTGAAACGGAGCTGACGCAGAGCATGGCTGGAGTTGGTGTTGTAGTTCAACATGACAAAGACGGCAAACTTCCCATTGTAGACCTGGGTCCCCCGCACCACTCGCAGGTTGGGCAGCGGCAGTGTGGAGAACTCATTCATGGCCACGAGCACGTAGCCCGTCACCTCGCGGATCCACTGTGATGGAGGAGAGCTTGTCCAAAGATGTCCCAAGTCCCTCCTTCTCCCTAAGGCATTAAGGAACATGCCCCCTCCCCACCGCCGTTTCCCTCTCACCCCCACACAACTGCTGCCCAGTGAGTGGAACTCACAGCAACCCCACACAACAGAGTAGAACTTCCTAGAAGATTTCCAAGCATGTACATTTCTAAAGAAACAGACGGGCTCATCTTTCCTCTATGGAGAAGCTGGTGAGGTCGAAAAACTCATCGTGATGTGAGCAGCTTGTGGGCTTCGCCATCATGCCACGGGGACTGCTTCAGGAATCCTCAACTCCTCTAATCCTACACAAGCCCTTTGGGGGAGTAGGGCGTGGGACTGTGTCAAACTCTTGTGAGTGAAGACAGGCTGCAGAAATGATCAGGGAACTCCAGTTCCTATCTTTATCTGCCAGACCTCCCTTGCTTAGCCCTTTGCTTCTCTCTCCAGATGCCTCTTGGCCCTCAGGTGTCTCAGTACAAATCCCAATTACAGAACATCACCTAACTCCTGCCCCTGTCTCATGGCGGCCAGCACCTCCCTATCCACTGCCTTAATACGGGAGATTTGATCTTAGAAACGAAAGCGTCTGTCATAGGACGACTGAGTTCAGTTACAGGAGGGTCGCCCTGCAGGACAGGGAGAACACAGAGGGCAGGTGGGGATGGCGGGGCGGGGCGGGGTGGGCTCGCTCTCACCTGCAGGAATGAGAGGTC